TACAGCCTTTTAATTTTCAGTTTTCTCCTCTGAAAATGTTGATAATACCAGCTACCATCTAGGATTGACCATGGGATTAAACTCAGATGACACAGATGCAACACTTAGGACAGCGCATGCTCCAACATGAAATCAGCCATCACTGTTGTTAATATGTCATATGCTGATTTAGTTCGTCTAAGTAGGCACAGTACTTCTACTACATTGGGACTGCAGTTTAGTAGTGTAGCTTCTAATACATCCCCAAATTTAACTGTGCACCAATATAAACTACAACAGGCCTTTGAACAACAAATAGTTTTAAGTTTTAAAAGTCACGCATAAAAGTTGGCAAATTATTTTATAAAAGATTCAGGTCCAATATTTTAAAATTTTTAAATATTAAGTGATAATGTGTCATTAATGAATATAGTTTAAATAATGTATAGCTTTGTTTTACTTTCAATGAGTTCTTGCACTTTGAACTAGTCCATTCTTAATTCAAATCAGTTTTTTCATTACCAAATGTACAATACTGGTATTACCAATGGCAACATCATTTCATGCTTACAAACCAAATGTAATACGTAACACTAAAAGTTTTTCATACATATTGTTTTTTCATTTCCAAAGGACTTCACTTTTATGGGGCTGAGGGGGAAAGGGGCAAGCAATATTACAGCTGATTCTCATTTAAACAGTGAAACTGCACCTCAAAGCATCAGTAAGAAACAAACTACATCTATTCCAGGAAGTAAGACTGTATTTTACACTCAAAGGAAGAGCTCATTTCATTTATGTTACAAACATGAGCTTTCCTTTGATCTAGAAGACAGAATCTTCCCATCTGCTCTTTGCCAACCTGGCCCTCAACCTTGCTAATCTCCTATCAGATGTACCTGTCATGGCAACATGCCTCATATCTTATGTATTACATGGAAAACCACACTTAAGAGACTAATCCCTTCAACTTAATAAAATAATAAGTTTACTGAAAACTTACTGTGTGCCAGGCACTGCATTTATTACTTTTCATGAATTATTTTACACAGTCAGGTTTGCAAATTCAAAGGCCTATAAGGGTATTGGGGTAAACAAACAAAGCAAGCTGGAAGCAAGAAAAATCAACTGTTCAAAAATACAACTGAACGTCATTGCTAAATTTCTATAAGAATTTACCAAACACATACACTAATGAGGAGTATACACTAAACTAAAATTGAGAAATACAAATTAAGGGCAGGACACAATTATAAGAGGGACTTTACCTAACAAATGCAATCAATGTAACCTGGTTCTTTGTACCCTCAATGAATCCCCAACAATAAAAAGAAAATACAAATTAAAATAGAAGTAT